CCAACGATGAAGCTGTCTCTTATACACATATAGATGTGTATAAGAGACAGTGGAAACGTTGTGTGGTCACCGAGATTTGAAAAGGACAAAAATTTAATAGAGAATGTTCAAAGACGTGCAACAAGGATAATTCCAGGCTTGAAGGGCAAGTCCTATGAAGGAAGATTGAATTATGCTAGCTTCAGCTTGCTAGGCATTCCTTTCAAGTTTCAAGGCTTATTGGTGCACATATTTGGTGGTGCACGGCTGCGTACCCCAGTCCTGCAAGGGCAGTGAGGCTAGCACTGCTGTGTCAGTGTCACAGTGTAGTGTGCTGTGTGAACACTATGTCTATGTCATTGTCATACACCGTCACACACACTGGACTGATGTAAGTAGCATATCAACAATTTTTTAATGTGAGTCGTTAAAAAACTTTATACAGTAGTAAACCAGTATCTAGTAACAGTACGGTCAGTACCGGCCTACCGGGATGCCTGTCGGAGGACGGAGACCACCACTGCCGCGCTTCGAATGGACTATCATCATTCATCATCATGATCCCTTCCCTGAACCTGAAGAACGTAGCCTACAACACTTCTTGACTGTAACATTATCAGCCGCACGCCACCAGACTGATCTCATCCATTGAATTAGACCAATCAGCCCACAGAAAAATAGACTGACGTCGTATGGCCCAGCGCGGAGCGTCGTCTGCCAATTCGCGAAAAAATTTTACACTACCCGGACGGAGCGTGCCGGAGCCGTCCGTATCTGTCCCGTGTGTCGAATCAGCCGGGTCGCCTGCCGAAGAACATCCACGTGTTCGAATTCTGTTTGCTGTGTGAGCCATAGTGGCAAACCAGAGATTTTTTAGAACCAGTTCACTTTTAATTTCCTTATTTACTCAAGATTTGAACCAATTTATTATGTATGATAATGCTGGTATCCATGATACTTTACTGGTCTACTTATAGGACTCAAAAACAAACTCGAGGGAGAGTCTAAAAAACTCTCTGCTTTGCCACTATGGTGTGAGCTGTATTGGAATACAACACGGCTTTGAATTAGAACACCAATGAATATTGAACACTACTTAATTACGCTTTTAATTAACAACTATTAAGCTTTTAATTAAGCAAATTTTAATTTTTGTACATAGCTTAGAACGATCTGTCTGTGTCCAATTCAAGTTGTGACGGAATTAGTTTTCATGTGTCTAAATCCATTTCTCAACTCAATCATCTATTAATTTATTTACCACTTGAAAACAGCGAATACAAGTATAGGTACTTAAAGGATTCATATTTCCTAATATATTCACAGATGTATTTAAAAGTCTCAAACCATAATATTCTTCAATCTTCCTATAAAAACAGTTATTCACTATTTGGTAGAGCAAGGTCAACTGTCAAATTCAACACATTTTTCAATGATCTTACTGGGTAGCGTGCATTGTCTCTCTTTGGATGATTGGATCTCAATATTTTCCCACTAGAATGACTAGATGGCCAAGGCCCAAGACCAGAAGGCAGAAGACCTAGTGCTTTGGCAGTAGTTCGACACGCAAATGTATGACGTCACCATTTCAACCATCAACGAACGCATGGCATGG